CGCCGCGCCGCCCACCGTGTGCCCCACCAGCGACCGCACGCCCAGCATCAGCCCCTCCGCGAACTCGCCCGGACCCTGGATCGCTCCCTGCACACAACATACCACTTATCACCTACTAACTTACTCTTGACAAAAATAATACACCGTAAGTAATAAATCTTGCTGAAATTAGTTGCATTTCAAATTTCAGTTCATTCACAACTGAGTGATGAATGAGTGAACGAATGGAGTGAGTGACCACATACTTGGAAAGGTTCATAGAAGAGATCCTCGACTCCTTTCTTGAGTCCGATAACGAGGCCGTAGGGGTTGCCGATGACGTCCAGCCCCAGCACCAGAACGTACAGCTGCTTCAGCGCCTGGCCCGTGTAGTGGCTCTGCACTTGACTGATCAGCTCCTTCTGCGACAGGAACTCATAGTTCCTCTCGTAGTATGACAACCTACAAACAATAGTCGTTTACAGTTGATAAGGTTAAACTTATGTTAAAATGAGAGAGATAACATGTTAAAATAAATCATACTAATAAGTAATTAGATGGATGGATAGATGTTTGTTACGAGTTAAACAGCTGAACAAATTTCAATAAAATTTGGTACAGATGTAGAGAATAGTCTAGAATACATAGGCTACTTATCTTCGTTTTTTTTTTTTAATTTTGCACGGACGGAGTCGCGGGCGTTAGCTAGTGATATATAAAGTAACAACTCACTTGAAGACGACATCATTCATATCAGTCAATGTGACGCCAATACTTTGCAGCAACGTTCCTACGAACGTGGGAAGTTGTGTCGCACCGCCCAACGAAAATGATACGTGGACCTGAAATATAAGTGTTTGTGTTACTTATATTGCTTTATTTATAACTATCTGCAACAATATTTTTACATTGTTTTCAATGTCAAGTATTCAGGTGTTACCTTAAGCGGTGACAAGTGCAAGTTGTCGTAGAAGTTCTTCTGGTCGGAGGCGGCGCCGAGCGCGGCCAGCGCCTCCAGCGGCTGCCCCGCGCGCTCCATGTCCAGCTGGAACGCCTCCAACTGGAACAGAGACTTCATGTTGACTAACTCATTTCATCAACCTCTGCTCTTCCATACATATCAGCCGTCATTTCTGAATTCCATCCCTTAAGCAATCCTTTAAACAATATTTTAAACAATCCATTCTTATTTTTCTCATTTTGTAGCTATCCACATTTAAACTTAATACTTTTTTATCTGATCATTATTACTGAAGTAAATCATTTATTGCCGAATATTAAAAGTAATCACTTCGCTTTGTAAGAACCGCTTACAATCTAATAAAAGTAAGAGTTTGAATGTCGTTACAATACTAGGCCATTACCGGTAGCTGTTTCTTACAAATAAAAATTAAAACTGGATACATAAGTGAAAACTGCAAACTTGAAAGGAAGACTTATCGCTACTGAATATTGCTAAATAATGAATAAATAAAGATATGTGATTAGTAGAAGGGTAGTCTCACCGCCTCCTGTTCAGTGAGCAGGCGCTGCGGGAACATGCCCATGAGCGCGTTGATGAGGCCCATGTCCACCTTCACGTGGAACTCCTGGATGAGCACCTTGTAGTACTTGTACTGGCGCACCTTGCTGTGCTCCATTATGCGCTCCACTATCGACACCTCGATGAACGGCTTCATACCTATTTATGGACAGAATAGTGTTTAAATCACTGTGTGACTGTCTTACGTCTGTACTAGTTTGTTTTTACTACTCTACCGTTTGTAAAACAATAGTTCATGTCATACTTAATATAAGAATGCGGACGTTTAGAATGATGGTCTGTCACTCCAAATTGGCTTAAAAGATCTCACTGAAATTTGGCACAAATGGAGAGTAGTCTGGAATTCATTTCGCACAGACGTAG